TATTATTTGTCAGTCGATTTCAGCAAAAAGGTATGATTTTATTAGAGTGTGAAAGTTGAATTGAACTCGGGTGTCGGAGGCGTCCCGGGACGTTCTCTCTAGGTGTAGGCATTTTTGCACCCGGGTGGTTGTATGAGAACCGTGGAGTGAATTTTTGTGAGAATGATTTTTGCCCTTTTTTAAATATAGCGATAGGCAGGCAGGTAGTTTACTTCTGGTGTGATTGAGTTTAGTTTATAAGTAGGCAGGGCCAGAGCAAGCTTTCATGTTTCTCTTCGTATTCTCCTCTAATACGTGAGAAGCTTGTATCTGGGGTTGGGAAACCAAAAATCAAGAGAAAAGATGAAAATGCAATTTAATTAATTTATCAATTAATTAATTTAGCATTCTCTCTTGATTTTTTTAAGGCCAAGCCTTATTAGTTTGTAAGTCGTAGTCGTGGTACTAGACCCGATTACAAAAATGAAGTATTAAAGTGAAAGTGCAGTGAAGTGAAGTGAAGTGAAGTGAAATTAAAAGGTGTTTTGTGCTTGGACATTTGCAAAAATTGTGCAGGTATGCGAGTAGCGATTCAAGAGATCGTTGCTTGTTTACGTGTTACGTTTTTACAAATGTCTGAACAAACGTAAAATTTTCGCGAGTGATTTTTGTGAGGCTATTGCCGAAGAAAGAAGAGGCTATATGCTGAAGAGCCCCGGCAAAACTTGCCCAGAAGAGGGGAACTACTAATGGCTCTCCATCTTCGGATGGACAGTCATTCTGTCACTATGCTCGCTAATTTGTTTTTTCATTTTTTGTGTTTTTCCTTGAACGGTATGAATAATACCGTCCAGGACGTATTGAACTCGACATTTTACGAGTTCAATACCCAGCTCGTTGAATGGTCAACTCGCGATTTTATTTCCGCTATTTCTTTTTCGTTTATTGCTTTATTGAAATAAATTATTCTTTTCTTATTGATTTGCACATCAATTATATTTCATGTTCTTATTTTAATTATGTTCTATTTATTTAAAACCTACCCTGAGATTGTAATGGTAATTATATATTCTGTTTCAGCATTTTTCATTTCAGTTGTAATCGAAATTATGATGTTAATTATATATTCTATTTCAGCATTTTATTGTTGAATTATTTTTTAATTGTTACAGAAATTATGATGTTAATTATATTTTCTATTTCAGCATTTTATTGTTGAATTATTATTTTGTTAATTCTTACAAAAATTATGATGTTAATTATATTTTCTATTTCAGCATTTTATTGTTGAATTGTTATTTTCTCAATTGTTTCTGATATTAGGATGTTAATTATATTTTCTATTTCAGCATTTTATTGTTGAATTGTTATCTTGTTATTTTGTTAATTGTTACAGAACGGATGATGTTAATTATATTTTCTATTTCAGCATTTCATTGTTGAATTGTTATTTTCTCAATTGTTTCTGATATTAGGATGTTAATTCTATTTCCTATTTCAAGATTGTATTGTTTAAATTTTTATTTTAGTTTGTCTGTTTTGTATGGCTTCGCGTTATTGTATATCTAATCCTAATAATTATGTTTTCCGTTACAGCATTTTATTGTTAAATTATTATTATTTTCTCAATTGTTTCTGATACTAGGATGTTAATTTTATTTTCTATTTCAAGATTGTATTGCTTAAATTTTTATTTTATGTTGTCTGTTTTGAATGGTTTCACGTTCTTATGATTTTAGGGTGGGTCACTAACGTAGCCACCTCCACGTGGTGTGACCTGGTAATTGATATCGTTTTCTGAAGATAACTTTTAGAAAGCGATATCAAGCTAAGAGCTACTATAAAAAGATTTATATATTTTTTAATTGGGAAACAATAGTTTAAATTCAGAAAAGTATTTTCGGGAATGCAATATTACCATATAGAACGTATAACTATATAATTTTATAATTCCTGAAAAAGGAACTTGTATGATTTTTGACTAATTACCTCCTTCTTTTCGTAGTCGGAAAAATAAAATAAAAAGAAAATCACAAAATATGGAATTTAATAAGAACGAAGTTGTTTGATACGCAATGGTAGAAAGAAATCAACCCTGGCGAAGATATTTCAAGCAGAGACGTTATACATTATCCATGACTCTGGTCAGGCGCCAGATCTCCCTCTTGTCCACAGAACACATAATTTCTGCTTTTCATTTGATAGAAATTCGCTACATTAACTAACAAATATTTTTCTTATAACAATTTTCGAGAGGAATTCATTATTGAATAAAAGTAAAAATTTGCATAAATGGAGGGTGGATGGGATGAAGTAGGGCGGGTCTCCAAACCGCAGCAATCTCCTCTTGGTGAGAACTGGGTAATCGTTATTATATGATGACTAATTAATAACTGTATCATTATTTCTATGGTACATTTATTAATTATGCAACAAATAATACGAGCGAATTGGCTGCAAAATTTATGCTTTTTTTCTATTTAATCTCTGTTATATATTTTTCATGAACTATGCCTTTCAGATTCTGATGTGTATCACATTGCAACTACAATTTTACGGAACGAAAATTAATAATAATGAATGCATGGTCAGTATTGTTTAATTATGTACTTATACATATACATATATAGCTATCGTAGCATACACGTGTCATTTAGGTTTATGCGAAAGGTGACGTAGTATAGCATGCCGTTAGTTGATAGGGTTGATAGCATGCGATAATTGAGGTGGCGCTTAAATCAGTTTCTGTTCGGCCTAATTTTCAATGAAACGTTGACTGTTTTACCGACGCGGAATTCGAAGTTCGGCTTCCATGCTAGCAACTATTATATTCTACGGATGTGTTGAAAATATTGAGTACATGTAATATTTGTTTTATCTTGTATGTACGTACATACATTTATTACATAATTATCTCTTCTCGTTGTTCATATATTTTTGCCCACCCCATACGAATATATCAAAGTCAAGTTCACACGACAATATCGCAATAGAGTAACACACGTGACCACGATTATCTGCATTCCCTAGCTATCCCGTGCTATATTTTGCATATACACACAAAGTTAGTAGTGAGTTGCAAATTTATAACGGTTGTGTTAGACAAGAAACTTGCATTTGTAAAAATTCTAACAGAATGGCTAGAATAGCAGCTGTAAAGACATCTTTAGAAAAAGTGTTGCACGATGAAAGTAGACTCTGGACCAAATATTTGGCAAAAGTTGAGAAAAAGACAGGAGTTGATCGACTCTATGTGTTTTTAGGTATGAATGTGAGGTTATTCGGTCTTTGTGACAGTTATTATCCTAACTATATTCATTGATTCTCGCTTTACATAATGAGTACTAACGATGAAATTATAAATATTTCTTTTTACAAATTTACATTTAGTCATCATTGTGTGAAAGGACCTTGATAAGACAATCTTTCTATAAAAAAAGAGTAATGGCGATTAAACTTTACTTTAGGGGACAGTAAATTTTTTTGGGTACGGATTCCATCACTAGCTGTATTTAAATTACTCATAAAATTGTTACAGTAGAAGTAATAAGCAAATGCATGGGCTGTACTCTCTCTCTAACGAGATAAATGTAAACCTAATCAAATTTATGGTTTGACTAAATCCATTAAAGTGGTCGGCACCTGCTGCCTGTAGCTAGCGACACCGTTCATTGGACAAGAAGCCAATAGGGCGTCGCAGTAACGTAGCAAATGCACCAAAAGTGTCAAACTTTACACGCTCATAACTTTTAAACCGCTGCATTTCGACAGTTAAAACCTGCATTTTTGGATTCTACGCATCGAAAACTATTAGATTAAGGAGAAAAAAGTGGATAATTTTGTGTCCGCTAAAGTAAAGTTCAGCCCGCAAAATGATAAATAAATTATTATATTTTTATATTCTGATCATATTATGCTTATACTAGGTATTTTTACTCAATTTTGTGATTTTATTTAATGTTTTAGGTAGTACCGGGTTTATAGCATTATATTTGGTATTTGGTATTGGACAACAACTAGTCAGTAATGTTTTTGGATTTTTATATCCAGCCTATTGTTCTATGAAAGCTTTAGAAAGTACAAATAAAGAGGATGATACAAAATGGTTAACGTATTGGGTTGTATGCGCAATTTTTACAATTGTTGAATTTTTCTCAGATTATATTTTATGTTGGTTTCCAGTTTATTGGCTTTTTAAGGTATGGTTACATTTATTTAAATATCAAATTTTTAATAAACTGTTTAATAACTTTATTGTATTTGGTAGTGTCTATTTTACATGTGGTTGATGGCCCCTATGGATAATAATGGCTCCCTAATTTTATACCGTCGTATTATTAGGCCATACTTTTTACGGTATCACCATAAAGTTGATCAGTTTATATCATCTGCTCACGATGCAGGTACATTTATGTTAATAAAATACATTGAGCAGTTTATTATCAGTTGCTATTTACTAAAAATTTTCTCATTTCAGCAATTAAAGTGACAGCAGATGCTCTGTTGACAGAGAAGAAAGATTAATTTCTAAAATTTTGCATCCCATAGGAATACAAATTTTGTATATTTTCAGTCTTTTTCTTATTACTTTTTTTTTTATAATAAGAAACAAAAATATATTTTACATTCTGATTATATAAATCCATTTGCATATTATCTATATTATATAATTTTTCAAATGATGTTTTATTATTACACAGGTAATTTATTTTAATTTCAATTTATACAATTTGTAATTCTTTCTTCCAGTATCGCCAAAATAGTGTGCTTAATTTCAAAAAAATGTACCGCTATTCTTTATTTCTTTTTTTACTTTTTAATTACAGGGTGATACTCTCGCTATGCAATGCAAAAGCCGTGCCGCACAATGGAACCCCTGATATTCCGTTTCTTGTCTTCATCTCAGCCATAAACACACACAGAGCAGTTTTGGGTCCAGCGATATGATCCCTGGGTCTCTTTACCCACAAAAACAGCAGGATTCAATTGTGCGGCACGGCTTTTGTCTTGCGTAGCGAGAGAATCACACTGTATTATGATCCTTATTAAACTTTATTCTACAAAATTTGTGATCTGATTTTATATGATATTATTGGTGTTAATGGCATGCATTTTGATAATTTTACTATTAATATATTTCTACTAATACAGTCAATATGAATTACAGTTTGGTTCTGTGTTTTTGTTATGTTATAAATGTTATTACTTAATCTAATGTAGTTCAAGTTATTGAAATTTAAAATTTCGCTAATCCTTGCTCACTAAAATTAAAAATTGTGGTAAATAAATGCTTACTTTCGTATTGTTGATATTTATTACACATGCTATGAAGATACGCGTTTTAAGCTACATCTACGCTATACATATAACAGAATCGTAAAACAAATAATTATTTTATAACTTTGTTGTGCAATATATTTGTATAACGTGTTACAAGATTGTATCTTTTGATACTGTAATAACAAGCGTGTAACCAGTTTTTATAACATTATGCATCACATAATTAATAATGACGTCGAATATTGGAATAGTAAATATTTTATAACCGGTATGCAATGATTTGAACTGAATGACATGTCATTTAAGCAGTCAATGACCAATGCTCACGGTTTAGTCCGCGCTTTCAATGGAGAGTCCTTTTAGTTAATAATTTAAAAGTTAAGGCTTAATCAACATTTTGACAAAAGATAAAGTTGTTCAGAATCACCTCAGTAATTACCCTTTCACAGCTCACATTCTTTACATAACATCCTGTATATATATTTAGTAAAAACAGAGATGGTTACTCTCCGGTAAAAACTTTAATCCATAGGTTATTATATTACTATTAATGCATTTCAAATAATTACATAATTTAAAACAAAAGTCTTGGAATAAAAGTGTAATATTATACTTTGTTTAATATAAACAAACTCTTAATAGAATTATATACATGAAATATAAAAAAATTATTTTCAAATAATATCACAGGTAAATCTCAACAAAAGATTTATACAATTTTTAACTTACAAAGTTCTTCGTTAAGTATATAGTATAAATAATTAGGCCTATTAACTACATGAAGTGTTTTTAAATTGGTACGATGTACAATCTTAGATTGACTTTTTGTATGAAGTATTAATGTTTTCTGTTTCATAAACGTATACAAAAACTCCTAGAAACAAGTTAAAATATATTAAATATTATACAATGATCGATAGAGCATTAAAACTAATGTAATTCTTACTTAGAAAAGTCACTGCTCTTTTCAATAATATGTTCAAATTCTGCAAAACTTAGTGCTCCATCATCGTCTAAATCTGCTTCGTCGAGTATATACTGAAGGACCTGCTGCATATTTGTTTCATTTAGTCTTTGAGGAATAGTAAGTCTGTCTACCACTTGTCTTAAATCGCCGATACCAAGCATATCGTCCCCATCAAAATCTGAATATGATACATTCATGTGTTAACTAACAAATAAATATCAACGACTAACGAGTGTAAAAAATAACGTATATAAAGTATGAAATATTACCAAATATTCTAAAAGCATGTTCTGCCTTAACAGCTTTTGGAGCTGCATCACTGAAAACTGACATCATATCAAGAAAATCTTCGAAAGTACAATCTCCATCTTGGCTAGAACTAAAAACTTTGCAAATTCTATCTCCAAACGGGTTTGCTCTTAATTCAGGATACTGTAAAATTTTTGACATTGGAAGTTTTGCATTTCTATTGTGACCTACTTTTTCTGGAGCAAGAGCTTTGAACTTTTGATGTGCACTGTTATATAAAACAAATAATTAAACGTTAATTGATAGTTCTTTCAACTAATTATACAATTTAAAAAAAAGAAAAGTTATCTTTAATCTATATTCTAATAATAGTGTTGTTATATTTCATGAATAACTGAAATATAAATTGTATTTCAAATTTTTATTCTACTTTAATACAATAAATTTACTTAACAACATAACATGCTTAAAATAATGACAAAATAAAAGAAAAAGAAGTAACAGATTCAACTTTTTATTTGTACAATAATTCAATTTCTTTAAAATTTATATACAATCTTATAAAATAGCAATGCTTAAAAACATTAAACCAATATGATATAAATATTTTCAATTTAATTTTCATAAACTGTACGTGTATCATCTAAAGTATATGTTTAACAAAAATTGTACATACTTACTGCAAAACTTCCTTTTTCGTAAAATATGTTAAATCCTACAAAATAAATAATATTAGACAAGTAAAAATAATTAATATAAAACTTTAGTTGATGATTAAAATGAATTACTTGATAATCCTGCAATTCTTCTTCTGTAAATTGACTTTTACCAACTCCCATCTTTCTATATAAGTATGTTATAAATTTACTTAATATTTAGTATTTAGTTTATTACACTTTTAACACATGATCATGTAATATTTTTTAAAATTATAATACTGTAATGGTAAATTTGTATTTGCAACCTTTAGAGTGATGTACTCCGAAATACTATTTATCTACAAATACTATCAGATCATGTTAATAATCAAGTGTACTACTAACTCGTTGACTTTTATAATTTGTGTATTTTTAATTAATGTTTAAAATAACGCAAATGAACTTCACGCAGAACTCATTCTTGTCTTTTGTTTATAAAACGAACGTGCCTCATTAATCACGCTCACCAACTACTTATTAATTGTGATTCTAGTTCCATCTAGTGGAATTTGCTGTGTTTCTACTGCTAGCATTGCATCTTTTTTATTATGTATAAGTTACTGTGTAATTGTGTGTAATGTTGCAAGGAATTATTATAATTATATAAAATTTTTGTTTACAAGACGCGAAGTCGTATTCATGTTCATGTCCCTTTCGAACATTGCAAGGTATAATGACATATACTGTATATTAAATGAAACAAAAGAATATTACAAATTGATTTATGGTGTTTTATAAAGTTTGTTTATTCATCGGTCAGTTATTAATACACCTGACTAATTCTACTCAATTGAATTTGGTAAATTATCATAGTTTCCACTTGTGTTGCAGCCTAAAATAGTAGCCAGTCTACAATAAACATTGTGATATGGTTCAGCAGTATCAGTCACCTGTAAGGGTGTATAAACATCCTTTTCCACTTGTGATGATGGTACGTTTATTATACATTTTCTTCGAGTAAGATTATTTATTATACTTTGTTGTTAATAACTTTAATTTTATCCAAATGATTTGGGCTGATTTATAATTTATACATTTTCTTTAATTTTTTTTAATCTTATTTTTTTACAGGCATATGAACGTAGATTTCCAACATGCTCACAAATTCCTGTTTTAGTTGGTTGTGAGATAGTTTCGGATGAGGAGTGTGAAGAAGGTAATCTTAGAATAACAGAACGACGATGTAAATTAAATGTTGAAGCTCCATATATTTTGAAAAAGGTATGTACATGTATTTATTTAGGTATTGCTTTGAAAATTTATGAGAAAACATCACACAAAACATAATTTCAAGAAATAATTATACAATTTCTTACTCTTTAACATTTACATTTATCTTCTATTAATTTTTACTTTCTCAAATTTGACCCTTTCCTTTCATTCTTCTTCTCCTTTTAAGTTATTGATAAAGATTTATATAATGTATGTATTAACCAACTTGTATTATTTTTGCTCTTTGTTACAGATAATTGGGGTTGATTTTGTGTACTTTATTCAAAGGAATATTTTAGATAGACGGAGTAGTATTTTAGAAATTGAAGCATATAATGAAAGTTTTTCATCCAGAGTAACAGTAATTGAAAAGTGCAGATATTTTGTAAGTATCTGATGCATTTTATACCATTGTAATTTTTTTAAATTTTTGTATAATCACGAAAACCAATAATTGGAGCAAAATATGATCACACTTATACTTAAGTATTTCTATCTGCTTTTAACTAATCACTGTAGGCTGAATGTTTTTATCTGTATATAATTACGTAATTATGTAGTTTAATTGTTATAACGAATCACTTAATAATGAAAATATATGCACGTAGTTATTAATTAATATATAATATTTGTAGGTTCATCCTCAGAATCCAGAATGGACTTGCTTTGAACAAACGGCAAGCTTAGATATCAGAAATTTTTTTGGATTTGAAAATTCAATGGAGAAATTGGCAATGAAACAATATGCTCAAAACATAGCAAAGGTACTTTCCGAAGAATGCGGTATCCTTATTATCGATTATGTTATTTATAAATCATAAGTAAAAGTAGTATTTTCAATGAAACATATAGGGTAAAGAAATAATTGAATATTTCATAAACAAACTAAGAGAAGAAGGTATAGTTTACGTGTCCCCATGGAAAGATCCAAATGAGACATCGTTTGAGAAGGACACCGGGTAAGTTTTGACTTGCATCGTGAAAAAATGTTATTTTCCATCATCATGATTTGAAACATATTGCTTTAAAACATTGATGACTGTATGGTTACGTTTTACTTTGATTAATGTTTTCGTTAATCACTGATTATATACATCTTATTGAAACCATACATCATTTGTCTATGTTGTTTTCCCCGAAACAAAAACATGAAATAATAGATTGCACAAAATCAAGAATATTTATTTTAATTGTGTTTTATCTGTATGTTGTACATTTTGTAATTTTTAAAATTTTTGTGTTTAGAAATCATGGTGTAGAAAATCAGAAAAATCTGAATCTGAAAGAGCCTTATACATATACGGATTTGCAAAGTAAAGGTACGATGTACCTCATTTTTATTACATATGTATGTGTGTTTGTATGTATGTATCATGCTTATTGATTTAGTAAATAACTTTCATTCGTCTCTTTAATTGCATTTATTCAATTTTGAAATGATATTTTATGTTTTAGAAATGCAGTTGTCTTCTGATTACATAGAAAGATACTTAGGAAAGCTTAACATGATACAAGAAAGTAAACTTATTCAATTGCGTCAGAGTATGAAAGAATTGAGGGGAAGCTCAGTACCCAGTGATGCAACTCTTTTAAGATTTCTAAGATCCACCGAATTTTCAGTCGACAAAGCAAAAGAAATGCTAACGCAAGCATTGCACTGGCGAAAAAAGCATCAAATTGATAGATTACTCGAGGAGTATCAAGTTCCACATGTAATAAAGGATTATTTTCCTGGCGGCTGGCATCATTTCGATAAAGGTATTCCAATGATTATCGATACATTTACCAATCAAAAAAATTATAGATATCTCTTCAGTTTTCAAAAATACCGAAAATACTTTGACACGTTACAATGTATTCATTGATTTTCAGATGGTCGACCTTTATATATTTTGAAAATGGGTCAAATGGATGTGAAAGGATTATTAAAATCCATCGGAGAAGATGATTTATTATTATTGGTAAAATTTACTTTTCTAATAATAACCGTATAAAAGTTATCTGTAATAAATGCATGGAAACATCTTGTTAAATTTGTCATTATCGCTATTACAGGCATTGCACATTTGCGAGGAAGGCCTTCATCTAATGGAAGAAGCTACTACTGTTTCTGGTCATCCGGTATCCCAGTGGACTTTATTAATAGATTTGGAAGGCTTAAATATGCGCCACTTATGGAGGCCTGGTATAAAGGTACAAAATTTTGATATAAGATGTTTAAAGGTAAAATTATTGACTATCTTGAATGTATTTTAAATTATATTCAGCTTAATATAAATCACAATTATAAAAGTAGTTCTTTATCAAATGAAAATTTATCGTAAGCAGGGGAAATTATTTATAACTTCTTGTCACAGGCCTTATTACGGATCATTGAAATTGTTGAGATAAATTACCCAGAAACAATGGGTAGAGTTCTCGTTACACGAGCACCTAGATGTTTCCCCATTTTATGGACCCTTATCAGCACATTCATAAGTAAGAAAGTATTAATGCTTCTGATGTTAATTACAAGATACATAATGATGATAGTTATTAATTATTCGTTTTCTATAAATATAATAAAATTTTCTTTCCCAGATGAAAATACAAGGAAGAAATTCATGTTTTATTGTGGTACCAGTTATCAGGAAGAAGGTGCAGGCGGTATCGACGAATATATCGACCCTGAATTTATTCCGGATTTTCTTGGAGGCTCGTCCGAGGTAAAGAAATAATAATAATTTATCGGAGTAAGAGAAGACATTCTATACAAATTAAATGCAGTTTGATAGTCTACGATGACGTAGCACAACAGACATATTGAAAAACACTGTTGAAAATGAAACAAAATGAAAAGACAATGTCAAAACAAAATAACGGACTCGCTGATCGAAACGTTTTGTCGTCATCAGGTTTTTGTTGTTGGCAGGCCTTGAAACAATTTCTGTATCATCCAACAAGATAAGTTGCCTAGTTACTTGCAAAATCTGGATCAAGGCTGTCGTATGATATGAAAAGTTAATCTTTTCGTGTGCGCTTTCGATACGTGCACTTGGATAATTTATTAGGCTTTGTTCCCTTGATATTCGTTTATTGTTTTTTATAGCTGCTATACTGTTGACACGACGTTTCGTATCGCGATGAGTTCTAAATGGTCGCACACTACTATTTTACATAAAAAGATTTTCAAATTTCTAATCTTATTTTTAAATAGAAAGAAATAACGCGAGTAATGATACTTTTACCGTTAATTATTTTGGGTAGTATTTTGTAATACGTATTGTGTGCAAGTACCTAATCTCATTGTTAGAAATAATATATTTTAACTAATAGGACAGTATGTGCGAGATTTATGGTATGGTACCTCGAAGATTTTATATTTTCGACGCAACTGCTAATAACGTAAGAACTTTTATATCTTTATTTTATATGTTGGAGAGTGTAGTAATACCTGATGTTTTTAGTTTCCATTCTGCTTCTTTTTTACTGATATTTTGTTCATCAGTGTCATTTATTATTTTACAATTTGATAATTATTTACATTGAAAACATATAAAATATTGCACAATCATTTAAATGTTATAAAATAGTTGCAATCAATAATCAACGATAAAAAGGCCCCCTTCTACCAGGGTCTACCAGAACGATTGTAGGACCCTTGGAGGATGGTTGCCGAGGAACAATCTTTTTATCGTTGTGGGACACCCTTTATATTCCACTCCAATCTGAAACTTCCCTCCCTTTCTTAGCACCATTTCAAGTTCGCAAAACATAATCATCTTGTCGCGTTTTCGCTTTGTTTCACCCTCGTTCTTAATACACTCGAAGGTGCACGAATTGTTCGTATTAAATATCGATTAATTTCTGACAATTTCCGCTCCTGATCTCACCTCACTGTGAGAGAGTATTGTACTTTTTGTGTAACTGAAGCTTGAAAAATCTAAACATAAATATTAATAAAATGTTCACAGCGATCGTCATCGTCGACCGAAAGTAAATCTTCATGAGTAGTAACATATTTTCTTTTAAGATGCCAATTGTGTAAAACATATAGGCGTAGTAAATATAAGAGTTCTATACATATACAGTACCGGATTAAGAGGAGATCTAAGGGGGCTACAGTCCCGGGCCCCACTTTGCATGAAATTCGAATGAAATTGTTTTTACTATTGCTCTTTTTCCTTACTAATAAATTTACATTTTTGGGCTATGTTTATCAATCTAAGGAGCCATCAAAGGATTGATAGACTCAGCACCCCAGAAATCTTAACCCGGTCCTGTACATATGTTCGTGCATGCTCGATAATTATTCATAGCGTATCATTCAAATCTACCATTTATTATATTTCATTATGTACCTAAAAAATTGTACTTTTATAGGCTTGCACTGCCGAGGGAGGAATCGTACCGAAACAGCTGTACAATTCGGAGTTGGAAGTTGCATCCGCCGAAGAAGGGCATAGCTTGTATCATACTATTACTTTAACTCGTGGACAGATTCATCGAGTAGTAATACATTCTAACGACCCAGGAGCAGTTTTGACATGGGATTTTGATGTGATTCGTCATAATCTTACGTTTACTGTTCTATATCAAGCTAATCCGGATGATAAAACTTCGCCTTCAGGTTCGTATACGAATGTACAACGTCAGTCATAGTGTCCGTTCGTCTAGTGAAAAAGCACTGACTTTGGAGTTCAAGTTTAACCGCAGCAAATATCGTAGATTTAATTATTTAATAAAAGCGTTAAAATAATTAACATAATCATAAACATTAACATAATTAACGTAATTTATTTGAAATTACAAAATACACTAGACGAACGGACACTATGATTGATGTTGTATATAATAAGTACAGCATCGAGCAAAGTACTGTCCATCGATCATAAGAAGTCCTATGGGAATAACGCAATCTGATTGGTTGCGCTCCACCTCCGTTTACACGTGACATTCTTTTTTACACGTAACATGACGTATCATTGGTTGAAACGGTTTCATCTACCAATTAGGCTCGTATAAAACTAGGGGATCAGTCGATGTGTGCGTAGCACTCCCTTTTGTCCCCCTGTCCCTTCCTGCGAGACTTCTTGTGATCGGTAGATAGGAGGCTTCCGTAGGAAAAATTGCGATATAGTCAGGAATAGAAATTCTTAAAATATTAATTTTTACTTCCATTCCCAGTGAAGGGAAAGCCTATAGGAATACTCGAAAATTTTTATTTAAAATAAATAAGTAACAAACATAATTGTTATTATTTTTTACAGATAAGGAGGCGGAATTGGTGGAAACGGAGGAAATAAAAGGACCTTTCGTTAAAGTTGAACCCAGTGTTACTTGTCACGATGGTGAAAGTATTCAGGTAACAGTATCATTATTTTACTTTCACTCGTATACATATTTCATATAATATATTGTTTTTCTGTTTGTTACGAAATTTATTTAATTGTAGATATTGACTTACAGTTAGATTTTAATTAAAAAACTTGTATTCAACACCGAATTTCCCCGATAAGATATAATAGTGTAAACTAATCGTTCGTTTTATCGGTACAGGGTTCTCATATAATGCAAGAAGCAGGTACATATGTATTGCAATGGCATAATCAAGATGATCAAACAGAATTTCTTCCATCCATTAGTAGTCACAAAGCACAATTAATGTACTTTTATGAAACGCTACCTTCGATTCACTATAGGTATGTTCTTTTAAATAAATTAATATGCGTACACTTACGTAAATATGTCATTTGAACAGCAATTATAAGTGTGGAAATACATATAATTTGCTTTCTAGGGGATCTATGATGAGCTTGCAATCTGGCATAAGTGCAAAGTCAGAGGCAGTTTCATTCTTATCCAGATGACATGTAACAGATACATCATAGAGCGTTAATTGATGGTTGAAATTACTAAGAATAAAAAATAGTGCAATGTTATTTTTCATAAAGCTATTAATTTTTGTAGAATATCTTCCACTACAGTAATTTTATACAATTTTAAGTTTTTAAATTTTAATTTTTAAAATTGTACATTTCTAATAAGCATATCACTGTCAATCCTGTAAGTAGAAAGCACGAAAATTTAATTATAAGAGATATGTAAAATAAATAAAAATTAGATTTATAAAATATCGTTACGATTTCCCTTTCTTACAATCTATAGAATATCTACATTGATATCTATGAAATATTTTATATTGTAGAAAATAATAGCTGGTGAAATATAATATTTGTGAAAAATTTGCAGAATATTTTATTTTTATTTTTGTGTGAAGACATGTATGGTAAAATATTGTAAACACACTTCTTAAAAACCTATTTTACACACTTCATATACCAGATGCAAAAATCTGCACTTGACGATTTGATAATTTATATATGTATTTTGCTACCTCTGGCCAATTACGTTTCCTTCTAATGGAATCAACCCTCCAATTAACTGTCATTATTCCAGTTGCATCATTGGAATGTCCTGTTTTCAAAGGTTCAACCATAACAAATAAATGAGCCATATATTTGAGAATATCTATAAATGTATCAGAACCTTCATGCTTATAAGCATGTGTCATAATGCAAAGCTCAGAAGTATCATCATGTTCAATGAGTGATCTTAAACATCTTATATAATACATACATTGCTTCAAATTAAATCCAAAATTATAAAGATGGCTTAAATCATCAATTATAATAATCACAGGCTTATTGTCTGTCTTCATTTTATTGTATTTATTTTTAATAGTAATAAACAAATTGTCAATTACTTTGTTTATTGTCTCTTTATATATATTATCCATGTCAGGTGCATTGATTTTGATTGGTTCTATAAATGTAACCTTATCTTTCTCTTTTAACAATGAAAGATTGTAACCAAATTTCATACCCACATTATGATAATGGTTGAAAGTGCTATGGAAAAGTACAAAACAAATTCCATAATCTTTCTTTAATGCATGTGAGATAATTGCACTTAATAGAAAGTTTGCATTACTATAATGCTGTTCTTCAATCAATATTACTTTTCTATCTATATTTACTTTATCAATACCAAGTGTATCTAATACTGAATCCATTATGCTACACATTACGCGAAATTTTCGAAAAATAGCGCCCCCTAACGGCAAAAATGCATACTAAACTTTCTATGTCGAATCAGCACCATCTGGTGGCGAAAAAAGGAATTAAACCTTGCCGAATTTCTGGCCCTCTGGCGGCAAAAATGTGAACTAAAATTTCTATGTCGAATCAGCGCCATCTGGTGGCGAAAAAAGGAACCAAACCTTGCTGAATTTCTGGCCCTCTGGCGGCAAAAATGCGAACTAAAATTTCTATGTCGAATCAGCGCCATCTGGTGGCGAAAAAAGGAACCAAACCTTGCCGAATTTCTGGCCCCCTGGCGGCAAAAATGCGAACTAAAATGTCGATGCCGAATCAGCGCCATCTGGTGGCGAAAAAAGGAACCAAACCTTGCTGAATTTCTGGCCCCCTGGCGGCAAAAATGTGAACTAAAATTTCGATGTCGAATCAGCGCCACCTGGTGGCGAAAAAAGGAACTAACTTACCTTTACTTACCTTTACTCAAAACCGTCTTTATATTATATTTATTATAAAGGAATGTAGGGATGAAAAGAATGTAGGGATTTAAGGGATGAAGTGAGTAAGGAATGTAGGGATGAAAAGAATATAGGGATGAAAAGAACGTTGGGATTTATGGGATGAAGAGATATAAGGAGTGTAGGGATGAAAAGAATATAGGGATGAAAAGAACGTAGGGATTTACGGGATGAAGAGATATAAGGAGTGTAGGGATGAAAAGAATGTAGGGATGAAAGGAATGTAGGGATGAAAAGAATGTAGGGATGAAAAAAATGCAGGGATGTAAGTAATGCAGAGATGTAACGGAACGAGGGATGAAAGGAATGTAGGGATGAGAAGAATGTAGGGATGAAAAGAATGCAGGGATGTAAGTAATGCAGAGATATAACGGAACGAGGGATGTAAAGGAATTCCGGGGCTGGGGCCCCGGTCTCCAGTGCACGCGGCCCGAGGGGTGCCGACATCGGGTGTGGCCCCCGATGTTGGTGGAGTTTGGCACATGGCGGAGGGTTAAAGAACTCTCCCTACCGCCCTAGTGCAGGCCACCGTGGTGGTTTTAGTGGGTAAAAATCCCACACTACCTCCGGCCCCTCTCCAGGGGGGCTGACGGTGTCATTCTGAAGATTTCCACCACGTTAAAAAAAAAAAAAAAAGGGTATTTAAGGGTTGCAGGGATGTAAGGGATACTGAGATGGCCTTGGCATATAATGAGGGATAAAATTATATACATAACTGGAAAAAGTAAAATAAATGGGGTCCTCGGCTGAGATCCAAAAGAGGGATATAATCATAAATGTTATTCCTCTTCGATGAGCTTATGTAATAAGCAAGAAAGAATAAATGATGTAAATAAAATAAACTCTGCAGAAAAATTATACTGGTTGTGCCCTCTTCATACGGGCCTGATATTATCCAGGGATGTTAGGGACCCCGAAGCACCAGTTACTATCTCTGCATACCGACATAATATCATATTGGGGTATTAAGGACCCCGAAACACCGGTGACTATCTTTGTATACCAACAATATAGCATCCGGGGTGCCAGGGACCCCGAAGCACAAGTTACTATCTCTGCATACCGACATAATATCATATTGGGGTATTAAGGACCCCGAAATACCGGTGACTATCTTCGTATACCAACGATATAGCATCCGGGGTGCCAGGGACCCCGGAGCACCAGTTACTATCTCTGCATACCGACATAATATCATATTGGGGTATTAAGGACCCCGAAACACCGGGGACTATCTTTGCATAGCAACCACATAGCATCCGGGGTGCCAGGGACCCCGCAGCACCGGTTACTATCTCTGCATACCGACATAATATCATCTTGGGGTGTCAGGAACCCCGAAACACCGGTGACACTGCATACCGACATTTTGGCACGCGGGGTGTCAGGGACCCCGAAGCACCGATGACACTTTTTGCTTACCGACACTACGGCATTCGGGGTATCTGAGACCCCGAGGTATGTATGTAAGTTTGAAGATGTTAGATACAATGGTTGCTATAAAACAACTAAAATTCAACATAATAATGTTTACCAAGTAGTATTAAAAAGATTTATATGTTAAGCGCTTTTTATTGAAATTTTCTTAATAATATGGCTAAATCAGATATTAAAAACAATATTTTTCCTCGGATACAATATGCATTTCCTATTTTATATGAACAGGTTAGGTTGAATTTAATAAATATTTAGTATTAAAAATATTTTGAAATGTATTATAAATGATTGATTTGAATCTTTTTCATGTTTCGTACGTATTTATGTTTCTTTATTAATTTTAGAATGTAATTTAATAGCTAAATAAATAAAATATTTCGTTACCTTTGTAGCACGATAACCTAATACTTTCTTAGATTACGTTTTTAGATTTACAACGAATGTACAGATGATGAATTTACTAAAATAGCTAATGAAATAAGGACCCTTGGATTGACGGATTTTGTTGAAGATATAGTTATTTATCATATACAACTATACATACGACAAAATGTTGCTCCTACATTTTGGAAACAGTTTGTAAACACTGTAGATGGACAGCAAGGTTTTGAGCATTTTAAAAATGCAGTGGATGGATTATATACAAGTTTAACTGAATTTTTACCACTATTAAAACGATTAGAATATCTGGTTCAAACTAAAGTAATTCAAACAACTGGTGAAAACAATATATTGAATCAGTTTAAATTAATTGTGAGGTCTACATTGCTAAGCCAATTGCCCTTACGTTATGAACACATAGTAGAACAGTTTTATAAAATATCGTTTAACGTATTCTGCAGTGCAGACAATGCTATGCATGGTAATTTATATAAAATGCTTGATATATAATTTTCAACATTAATGTTAGTTTTCAATTTTACATATACTCTGTGTATCTTTCATACCATAAAAATCTTATTTTACAATTTATTTTAGTACAGTAAAGAAACATTGATATTATTAATATTGTGTATTTTGTAATAGCTAAAGCAGAAGGTGATTCGCTTCAATGTATGGGTTGTTTCCAAAAAGTAGAGAAATGTCAGTGCCAAATGATAGTATTCATGTTCCACGAAACCAATAGAAAATTAATTGAGTTGGAATTGCTGGAACGAATAGTTGGTAATGTTCTTACATCCCTGATACATATACGTATAAAGAATCACATATATCGATCATGTGACAAAACATTTGATGTATCACAGATAACATCGCTAGAAAATGTAATATTTTATTATTTGACATAATACAAATTTGATTTACAAACATTATTTATTAAGTATGAAACAATTAACGAGGAAACATTAACTTTCCAGTGGCTCGAGACAGTTGTTATGAATTGGTTGATCAGAATATACTCTGGTGGTTCTTCAAAGATTGTATCTTTAAATGATCAAACCCGTAATGCTATAGAGAAATTTAAACAGAAATTATCACACTTTTTATACGAAACATATACAAGATTCAGAATTGAACAACTCTTTGATATTATTATAGGTATTTATTTGGTTAACATTATTTAATTCCAATACTATTGGAATTACACCCGGACACATTGTAATATTCTTTATGTTCAGAATATCCTGATTCCCAGCCTGCTGTGGATGATCTACGTATTTGTTTGCAACGAACCGATCTTCGAAAATTTTTAATAGACAGTTTACAAGAAGCACTGAAATCAAGATTACTGCATCCAGGTGTAAATACACCGGATATCATAACAGCTTATATAGCAGCTATAAGAGCATTACGACAATTGGATCCAACTGGAGTTCTTCTCGAAACAATAACGGAACCTATTAAGTAATTATAATTATTGTATTTCAATAGAATCAATATTTCATTTATTTTATGTTATTACATAAATGTTAGGAACATTTGTGATAATGATTGAAAATCTATTTGTACATTGTACTCTTTTATACAGAATTTATTTAAGAACCAGAGAAGACACTGTTCGTTGTGTGGTAAGCGACTTGCTCGACGATTCACCGAGTGATCTAGCGGATGAATTAGTTAAAGGAGAATCTATACAATTAGACGATGGTTCTGGCGACGAAGAAAACGAAGATTGGGATAAATGGATGCCGGACCCTGTTGACGCTGATCCTGGTATATTTTTAAATATTCCACTGTACAAAAATCTTTTTTTGATACATTGCAATATTATGATTTGTTTTATGCAGCAAAATCAGCCCAACGCAGAATGTCAGATATAATCTCCATGTTGGTGAATATATATGGCAGCCAAGATCTGTTTGTAAACGAATATCGTACATTGTTAGCGGATAGATTATTGTCTCAATTAAATTATCACACCGAACGAGAAATACGCCATTTGGAGTTACTGAAAAGGCGTTTTGGAGAAAATCAACTACATTATTGTGAAGTTATGTTGAAAGATGTATACGATTCTAAAAGGATAGACGGTCACATACAGTCTGATGCAAATTACATTTTGGAGAAGCAACGGTTTCCTACGTCCGCGTTGATATTATCTGCGCAATTTTGGCCACCGTTCAAAGAAAACTGGAAATTGGAACTACCGAAAATTGTACAAAATCAGTTGAACAAATACGTGAAAGCATTTGAGACTTTGAAAGGAAATAGAACGCTCTGTTGGAAACCACATCTTGGAAATGTAACCCTGGAAATTGAATTGAAAGATAGAAAATTGGATATAAATGTAACACCTATACACGCTACAATTATCTTACATTTTCAAGATAAAAGTACAAAATCATTTATATAACAATATAATTAGTGTAAATGTAAATTGATATAATTTTAAAATTTAATTTTTGCAGAGGAATGGACTTTGGAAGAACTTGCTGAAGTGATGCACGCTCCTGCAACCGTACTTAGAAGAAAAATAACATTTTGGGTATCGCAAGGTCTTTTGAAAGAAGTATCTAACGACGTATTTGTGTTACAAGAAGAAAGCTCGACGAAGAATAGATCTTTGACAGATATTGTCGAGGAGGAAGAAATCGAAAGTGTAATGGCGTCTGCGAGCGATCAGAGGGAAGAAGAATTACAAGTGTTTTGGTCTTACATCGTCGGCATGTTGACTAATTTAGATTCCATGCCGTTGGAAAGGATTCATCAAATGTTGAAAATGTTTGCATCTCAAGGTCCGGGTGCAATGGAATGTGGTCTACCTGAATTGAGACAGTTTCTAGATAGAAAAGTTCGGGAACATCAGTTATTATTTTCAGGTGGTTTATATCGTTTACCTAAATCATAATTTTGCACTCATTGTTCGTTCGTTTTCTTTTTATAAAAAGGAGAAGAAGAAGAAAGAAACGTAAAGTGATTACGTCTCGGTGTATATATTATAAAAATATTTATTTCATATATTTGTACGAAAACAATAATGAACATTGTACAAAAGAAATGTAAATTTTATTTGTCCTAATGGTAACATTAAGTAATTTTCGAGATAACCTCGAAAGTATATCTTATTGAAATCTTGTATTTGTAAAATATCCATTTTCTTAATCTGGATGTAATGCTTATAAATAAAAAGTATACCGTACTATCAACACTGTTAAGTTTTATTATTAAACTACCATTACAGTAAAATTAAATTTGGGGTGTTAAAAAAGAAAAAAGACTCGAAAGAAAAATAGTAAATAATAATGGCGACATGAAGGGAACAAATGCTAATAAACATGGGTTAAAGAAATTAATATTATCAAATTTTGAAACGATTTTTTGTTTTATTAAAACAACTGACATGCTTTCTTTTAATGAAATCCTCATTAATATTTTTGACAATAATTCGTAAAAGTGATTTACGTAACTACACGATTAAAATAACGCGTTACGTTTTGTTAATAAATGGCGATTAATACTAACGGAGAACGTTTTAGAGACTTTTTTTATTATAAAAAGAAAAAAATATTATTCAATGTTAAAACATAATGTTCGACATCGTGTAATGTTAAAGAGTATCTTTTTGTTATTTTTAAGATTTAAACATTTACATATAATTTAACATGATGTACAATTTAATTATAATTATTTCATGCATGTGAATACATAATGTATATGCGTATGGCGTATGCCGTTACTTATATCATATGTAAGTATATACTAAGCCAGGAATTGAAACCCGATTCTACAAATAACTATTCAAAACTACTCAACTGTGTAAAGTTGATTCTACTTAAAACAGTAACAAGGAATCGATAAATTTCATAGTTGTTAAAAGCAGAAATGATGTTTAACCGTATTGGTTCCAAAACGATTCCGACATCAATTACCATGATTAAGTGCTTTTCGTTACACACACTCCTACACGTGCGACGCGTATATACAAGCATACAAGCATGATTTTAAATATGTAGGTTACATACGTGGAGAAAAAATAAACTTTCTCTGTATATGTACATATGCATTGTATATATTGAAAGTAATTATGCTGAAATATCTTTGAAGAAACAGTAAACCAGGAAACAATTATTTAAAAATCTCTATGAAACAAACGAATGTGTCGCTTTCAAATTTTAAACATAAAATAAATTATCTAAACACGGTACTGATCGAACAGTAAATAAATTTGAATTTGAAAAAGCCTGTATGATATGTACGTACATGATGAAAAGCAAATTATTGCAACACCATTTGGACGGATTAGTCGATACTTTTTAGGAGAATATAAAATGAAAATTTATTGCGCAAACCGCAATGAACATCGGCGCATCATTCCACGATCGCAACTATAGATGTCAGGGGTGAACTGGAATTTAAATTTTTACCGGGAGATTAGTAATATGATGGACCCTCTTTTCGAATTAGAGCCATAATTTTACTTAATTAGGCCCCAAATATCTATCAGCCCACCGGGAATTTTTCCGAAGATTCCCGATGGCCAGTCCGCCCCTGGAAGACGTCATAAATACAGGAATATATGTACATGAATGTCTGATAGAAAGACTACTTAGAGCGGTAAATAATTATGTATCTCGAAACATGGTTCGCTGCGACATACATAGATTACATGTATTGAAATTTCCATGATACTAAACATTTTAGCATTAAATTTAAATAAAGAGCAAAAATTGGCGAAACATAAATCCTAACGAGAAATATGTAACCTTCATGTTAAAATATAATTAGATGTAGTAGAAAATTCAAATTTGTTTTTATTTAATATAAAACCGATGCAGAACCGTTGTAGGGCCGATACTAATTCTGATTCCTTACAAATATTAATTCTTTAAAAGTATTTGAAAAACCGTTACTGTAACAGCTTTCAATCCCTGGTGCTAATTATATCTAAATACACTATTGCACTAAATACACAACAAAAGTACCTTCAATTTTCAACTTTTCCTATTCCTACATATATTTCTATAAAATATATTTCTTTGAATTATATATGTATATATATATATAATGTTAAAATATAATAAACACTATATTAAGCTAAAAACTCAAGTAGATTTCAGATCACTCTTGGTACAATTATATTATGAAACGTAATTATCTATTTACACAAAGTATTAATTACCTTGCGTTTCGATAATCAAAAGAGTTGTTAAAAGTGCCTGTGAAAAATACAAGCGTGTTGTACAAATCTCTAAATATACACAACAAACGTGAAAAAGATGTTCTTGTTATTACATGTACATATGGCAAATTTCAAGAATCACACAAATTATTCTTTGTATACCGCAGTTCACCAGAGTCCATAACTGCGACGCGCAGGTTGGAAGATGGTGGGGGAACGCAGCGAGCTCTCTGCTAATCGCTTTCCATTTCGTTTGGGAATATCGCCAATCAGGGCGAAGTTGCGCACTGGAGAAGCGCAAAGAACGAAAACTGGTCTTTTCGCAGTTATGGATTCTGGTGAACTGCGGTATATATGAATTGACTGATAAATTCGAGCTCGCGTTTAAACATTATTATTTATATATCAATATAGAGAAGAGATAGAAAATTCTGGATAGAAATTCATGAGAATATTTATGATTTCAAATGTAATCAAATTAACCTGCCTTTTACAAAGATATCAATTTCAGAATCAGGTTACTAATGAGCACATTCAGTCTCTATCTTCTAAAAACTTAATTTTATAAAATTGAAAATATGTATTTAATAAACGATTAAAGTCTATTACTTTACAAATAAATTGCACCACAATGTTATATAACAGATTTTTTAAATTACAAAACATTAGAATAAAATAAAATAAAATAAAATAAAATATAATATAATATAATATATGTATATATATATATGTATATATATATATCTATATCTTTGTTAAAAACTGGAGATTCTTTGTTGCTATATAACAAACTAACATATTTAAAAAGAAACTACCACGTCTTAATGCCTAATCAGTAGATTCGTATATTTTGATTTTCTTATACTCCTTAGGCGTTTCTTCATTAAACTAATAAGAGTTATCAATCTCGAGAAAACTTTCAAGTTACATGTTTCTACATAACTTGTTATTAAATTATGTAATATTCATTGTTATGTTTCGATCTGTACTAATATAACGATCGATTATCGTTTAATTGTTAATATAAAACTTTGTCTATGTAAATAAATTTTTTTTCCGCTTAACATTAACAAAATTGTAATGAAAAATATTTTTTTCAAACTGTACGTTTTCTTTCTTTTTTCCTGAGTCGAACTAGACTTAATTAGTATTAATTTCATTTCTACTTAGAAAAATCAAAATGGAAATAAATTTTGATTTTATATTGCACCTATTATGTACGAACGTATCTCGTTCTTTAATTATACAAAGTACATATTTCAATTTTTCGTCCTATTCTTCTCGCTTCCTTCTCTAATTTTATTTTATTGCTTTATTAAGAATGTAAGTACTTTAAAATCGATATAGTTATTATGCAAATGAGTATAGCTTGCAAACAACAATTTTAAATATAAAATGCTCTATTTCTTTCTCTTTTCTTTCTCTATTTATCTATGTGTAAAATGTTCAAAAGGTGTGATAGAATAGAGAAATAATTACTGAAATTTTAAATTTAATCAATGTTATTATAAATCTTATATATACATATATTTTTTTTAAGCATTTTTTTACCATTTCTTGCACACTACATAATATGTGCAAATAAATAACCAGAGATTCATTAAGTAATACATAGAAGAATATAATAAAAAACATGAATTTTTATTCATATTTTGCATTTATGATAAAATGTTAATTTTTCATTGAATTTAATTTTCCTAATTATTTCCTAAATATATCACATCTCATCAAACATTTTATCTGAAGGCACTTAATTTATTACAATTCCAATCAAAGTATTCTGTACATGTATACTACAGAAAACGTTGAATCTGAGAGAGATAAAGAAAAAGAAACAGAGAACTGATGATAAGCTGTATAGTAAAGTCAAAAGAATAATTTGAAAAAATGTTTACCTTTGATTATATACAAGTATGTACAGTATCGAGCAAAGTAGATTTCCTTAGATAAAATAGCGATATAGAGCAAGCATGAATTCTCAAAACCTTATTTTGACGATATTAATATTAAAAAAATGATTTAGAAGCAAGATAATATAATTTTTAATTATTAAATATTATAAAATGTATTATACAATTGAAAAGTATGAACAACCAAGTAAATATTGATTTAAATTTTCCCGCGTAAGCGTTCGTACGCAAGTGGTGGGAGGTGACAGACCTATACATATGAGACCATCTTCCCCCACATAGTCATTCTCCCTGCGGCCATCTACGGAGTGGGGGTGGCAGCCCGGTACTCCGAGACGTCGCCATTTTTCCTGGAGAAGTCTCCCATGCCCAGTACTGTACATACCCACGCACAATATACAAATAAATTTAACTAAATAAAAAAAAAAAATAGATATTTCGTTTGTTTGTTGAAAAATTCGTCATCTATGAATACGAGAATGTAGAAAGTAAATAGAATTAATTATTCAATTTACCTGGTCAGAGGCATATTGTATAGATATATTATATAAAATGCCAAGAAAAGTTGAATAAACCGGTTAAAATGAATAAAGCAACTTAATCGAGACTGTACACCGTGATAATAGAATGACCAAGAGGATACAGGATGGATATATAAACGTGTTGACGAACAGGGCTGGTGATGCGAACGTGGCGAAGGTGGTCTGTCTCGTCTGGTTACTGGTTGGTGAACCGATCGTAGATCGAAGATCGAAGATCAAACGCGGATGTTGTGTTCCAGAGTCCAGGTGTTAGCACGGGGCGGGTGGATTCCATTGTTAGCACTCCAAGCCTATAGGCCATGGTCAACCAAGGTTAAAAAGAAAGAAAAGAAAAACAGTTTGTTAGTTATTTAATTATGATCGATTCGTGTTACCATTAAGTATTCGAACAGTTTGATAGTTAAAAGAAATATAGTTAGTGAGAAGCATTGCCTATCGTTAGATACTTGTACATTATTCATTTTTTTATTTTTTATTAAAAACACAAATTTATTTATCTGCTTAATTTTTTGTTAAAAATCAAATCGTCTAAATTTTATTTTATATACATTTTCATAAAAATCGAATTAAAAGTAAACGAGGAGCAATTGCTTCGCACCTTCTGTTGATCGATATTAGTGTTGAAGCATACATATGTATAATATCTAGAAAATCTGATACGTCATTGAAAAAAAATTTATGAATTCAAACGATTTTTGCAAATACTACTTTTCGTTATTATGTTACAGTTACGTATAATTATTTGATGAAATATAATTGTGAACGTGTCAGATTTACATTTAACAAACATATATTTTAAAGATGATTTTTTTTCTTTTTCTTTTTCAAATGGAAATATTGGTTATTAGAAAGTTAAACTACGTTGATTTTGTAAGTTTTACATGTGCCCTCCCCGCGCTTAGGATAGTTTAGAAGAAAAAAAAAAAAAATTAAAAATGCAAAATTACGCAACATTCTAGCACGAGACCATTGCAAGACACGAACGAGTGTAACAAAAGCAGACTTGGAGTAGTGATGATAAGATTATTTCGATTACTTCAAATGCAAGGAGTTTGTTATTTTTCTTACTTTTTTTTTTTCTAAAAAATTGTATCATTCTGTAGGCAGCTTGGGTGTGCACCTGCCACCATGTAGCAACGTTAAGTAAAATGACATTTTTTTAAACGTGTGTATAATATTAAAGATATACATAGATATAAGAACGCTATATTACTATGAACCGTATTAATTATAACGATTAATATCCTGTCAGTAAGCAGTCAGTTAACAGGCGAATGGATTGCGAGTGTGCCGTATTAATAAGATATAGGTCTATTATACATACAAACTTTTAGATAAGCATACCTATTCTGTTAAACGGTGTTAAAATACTATACAGATTATATTATATAAAACACAGTGTTAATGTGATCGCTCCGAAATAACATATATGTATATGAAACTGAAAATTCTCGGCTATTTATCTGTACGATATACGTACATCTTGCACCCCATTGTAAAAATACCATTTTTTCCCCTGAAATTTTACTCATAAAATATTTACAAGCAAGTGAAAACATAGTTTACTTAACTTTATTTATAACAAATTAATTATCTTTAATAACAAAAGTAATTTTCTGTATACATATGTATAACGAGTTAGCGTCAACTTGGCCATGTGGAGCATTTTTGTTAGTTAAATAAATATTAAAGATGTATAGTTATACGATTCGTGTAACGAATGAGATTCTATTTATAATAAAGGTGCCATTATAAATTATATATGCGTAAGAATTGTTAGTGACGGTACATATAGTAACAAGGATAGGATGCAATTTTAGGATGAACTTTGAAAATTAATTAAAAATAGTTACTGAAAAAAAAAGATATTTCGCAATGTGAAGAAGAAAAATTTTAATCGATTATGTAAAATTAGTCGATTAATAATTCGTAAAGTATTCAGAAAAGGTGAAACTAAATCCAATCCGTATGATTATTATAATGAATATATAGGGGGTTCGACTAGAGGTGGGCATTCTTGCAGATAGTGATTGCTAGGGCGATTCTGAACAATTTTTTCCTTTATCAAAATGATCGTTAAGGCTTAGTTTTTGAATTATTAATGAAAAACTCCACGGGAATGTTGGCTATGAACCGCGCTCGACCGTGGCCGCGAACGAACTATGCGCGACTTCAGTCAAGCTTGGTTCGTAGCAGACACCCCTTTGGCTGAGCCCGCGAACTACGTTCGCTCTGATTGGTTGGTGTTTTTTGTTAATAATTCAAAAACCAAGTCTTAACGAGCATTTTGGTAAAGGAAAAAGTTGTTCAGAATCACTCCAGCTACCGCTACCTAAAAAGATGTTCACCCCTAGTCGAACACACTGTATACACACAAGGATAATATTTCCTAAATGCGATATCCTGGAGTTAGGTGGAACAAACGGTTGAAAAATTAACGAGTAATCAATGAAAAATATGATAATTTATGCGTATACTTTTTTCAACAAGCCTTCGCATCATACATCATAGCACCACCCCTGTTATCATTGTATGAAATAAAAAAAACTGCTTTTTCTGTATTTCGTATAAATTTTTATTTGAAATATGTGTACAACGCACGCTCGCCATGTATACACGTATACACGTCTACGCGTCTACACGTAGAAAAAGGCGGACTAAAACTGGAAAATCGGCTAAGTGTTCCACAGGCACAAGCTGCCAAAAAAATTTCTAAATAATTCTAAGCTATCTGTTTCTTTGTTCTTTTTTTCTTTTTATTATTCAAAATTTACATATACTCACTGCGTTAAGTATATGTTTATGTATATGTAAGTATGTATGTACGTATGCACACGTATAAATCAGTTCAGATTATATTTAATTACGGTACAAGACGACGTATCGTTTCATTTCTTTTTTTCCTTTCATTTTTCTTCTTTTATATTTACCTTACGAGCACTCTATATTGTTTATGCAAAATTCGAACGTCTTAATCGTAATTCGTTAAAACGTTATTTAAATAACAACGATAATATCTGTACTTAACCAACTGTAGTTAAGATATTCCATGTAGCTGTATTAAGAAAAATTGTGTAAAGAGAAATAAATAAATAAATAGAGATAATATTAAAGATGGGTAGGTGCGCACCCATACCACTGTTCTCCAGCAAGTTACTTGCGTTACTTCTTGTACTTGTAATGTTGCAACAAGGATAACGAAAGAAAAAGAAACTAACCTTTCTACCTAATTGCGGGGAGTTGATTCAAGATTCAGTAAATATATTAACGGAATGATTGATTTTCATTAAATATTTAAATAACAGAGTTTTGAATCAAATAAAAACAAGATGCTTGCTTTTATTTCAAACTTTTCCTGTAAACACATGGACGTATAACGCGACTGTTTATTATTTTTAACATAATAATTTATTATACTAAAATTCGAATTAGACGAATTTAAAAACACGATAAAAATTTATAATATGGATTTCCATGTTCAAAAATCGTAATTTCCTATATATAGACATTTTAAAGCGTCGAAACCATCTGTATTATATACCTGTTTAACGTCTGTTATTTGTTCGTAAATTTATTTTCCTTTAAAATAAAATTTTGAAGACGTAGAAAAATCGTAATATCAATTACCTTTGATAATAAAGGTAAAATTTGCCCGCGAGTAGTGTTCACGGATTCATAAATAATACGTATTATGTATAACATGAGTAAGTGTATATAGTGAAAAGTGAAAGAAAAGAAAAATCTAATAAATCGCGAATACTATAGAGAATAATGAAACGGTATTAAAAAAACTAACCTTTTCGCGGAGGCGCGAACAGTATTGCAATATCGGTCTCCGGATTCACGATAAAGCACCAGCCCTTTGATAAGGGTGCTCGCGAATCTGACCCAAGTGTCTACGTTGTTTCGCAGCGGCTGCTGCACCTGTCCCCAACATACAAACTTGTTTAATTCATCTGCTTCCACATCTATTTATTATTTCATTCCACTCCTCTCGGCAGGTCACTCGACTGCCGCTAGAAAAAATAATATTATCAATTAAAATGATCGATAAAATCACAGTCGAAACGCAAACTGATATCTCTATTTCCAACGTGTCCCATTTAATAATTTTCAATTTTTTAGCATCTTATCATCATATTTTTAGTATTTCTATTTTTTATCAGTTTGCGGCTGATTGTGTCCTTTCAATTGAGTACAACCTTTTTTTGTATCTGAAAAAAGAAATAATTTTTTATCCCGAATAATTGTTAAAATGATTCCAGATCTATTCGACCAATATAGGTGTCACGTCAAATCTTCTACCTTACTTACTCTTTCACACTGATCATTGCTTTTTCAATATTTTCAAGTTATATCATTTATATAATGGAATTTAGATTTAAATTTGAAAAATTTGATCTATATCAATCAAAATGCCTTACAAAATTTTCTTATTACCTACAAAGTACAATAAATATTTTCTACTAAAAAAAAAGAAAAACAAAATGGATAGATCGTATGTACAACAAGAAGATATTAAAATTTATGATGTTTATAAGGGTCGTAAAAACCGAAAATATTGGAATACCGCTTGCGCTTACAATTAAAAAAGATAACAAACGGCACTTATCCGTTGTTTATTTAAAATATTAAATCCTTGAACAGCGGAACCTGGGTTAATCGTGACTGAAAGTTAAATGTATAATTTTTAAATTGGGGCTCTCTCCATGGTTCGCCGTCCGAGGATTAACAATGAGTAGCTGTAACTGTTGGTTACGTCTACTCGTCTTTCTTTAGCGTCAGCTATTATTAATATAATCAAAATATATAGAGAAATAATACAATAATTAACATAGTCTTTGCTATATTCTGCGCAATATCGTTGACTGTACTTTCAACCGAACGGTATCTACTGGTAATAAAAGTCGATATCATCAGGGGCGTCATGTTAACCTTTTCGAAGATATGGAGTTTTGTCACCCCCTCTCCTTTTTACTAAATGAAAATGAAAAAATTTTTAACGTTTGGTCAAGAATTACCGTATCCAACTTGACGCTCCTGGATATCAACGACGAGATTTATCATTTCCCTTATAAATTGTTACTTTGTACAACTGCTTCCATTACTGTTATTAGATATTATTCGATGCACCAAAACTATGGATTATTATCGTATTTCTAGATTGTAGATGTCCGATATTTACAATGTAGGATAATTTGTTTTATGAGGTAGGACAAAATAACATTTCAAGGGATATCTTGATTTTATGAGAAAACGTCGCTAACCTTTACAAAAATACATTTCAACTTTGTTCGTCACTTTAATACAATATTATCCGATAATAAACAAATTACTTGAAATAACAAGCGTTCACACGTATGTAGCACGCGTTATAATAATCAGTCCTGAAAAGACAGTATCGTAATTGGTCCCTGCTTTTCCTGTTATTTCTTGACTACCGTTTAATGTCGTGTCTTAATCTATGTACCTCGCTTATTAATCTTCGAAACGAGTAGTTTTTGTTTATTCATACTTTCAAAATATTACAATTTCAAATAATCTCTTTTGCGAAAAATTCATAATTTAAAACGACCTTCAATTGCCGGATTGGATATAATTTTAATTTAAATCGATTAAAATTACTCTTAAAATTACTACTACTACTAATAATAATGATTATAATCATAATAATAACATAATATAATTATTGATTAATTATTAAGCAAATATGGTTTTTGAAATTATTTGCTTTGAACATATTTGTATCAAATTGAAATTATGCATTCTTTTACAATATAGTGTAAATGTAAAATAACAAAATTGTATAAAAATTGTATAACACTGTATTAAAAGCATTCAAAACATTAGTGAACGTGTGATAATTTTATAACGATCAGAATAATTGATATGTAATACTGGAAATAATATTGCGCTCTATTGTAATAAATTATGAAAAAAAAACACGAAAACCGAAGTATGTGCAACACCGAGCATGGTAGGCTTCTCTAGGGAAAACAGCGATGTTCCGACCTTCCACCCTTCCTCGAGAGAGCCTCGTATATATAGGCTTGTGGCCCCCCACCAATTGCATATCACGGTTGCGCGGAAAAATTTGATTTGATATTTATTTTATCATTTTTATTTCTCAATAACATACTACCTTTTATATTTGATAATTAAAAATTATATTATATTGTTTCTAATATTAATTTTGTTTGTGTTTTAATAGTAATACCGTCAAATTAAGATTTTGAGAATTTCTGCTTCCCCTATAGTACCATTTTCCATAGGGAAATCTACTTTGCTTCTTAGTGTACAATTACGAAGAAAATGCAGATATAATATTATAATGATAATAATGACAATAATAATTTGAAAAATGTCAATATTTGTCAAAACTTGCTTAAATTATTTGAAAAATACAGTTTATCGCTACTTTTAATTTAGCTAATTAATTATGTTGATGAGGTAGTGTTTCTTTTCTATCTGCTCTTTATGTAGGTTTTTAATCTGCTGATTTGATATATATAAGTCGAAATAATTTTAATCACCTACAAACTGTATTAAATATACTTTATGCCGAGTATAATTATCTCCTAACTGATAATTCAAGAAAAATTATATATAATAAAATGAATAAAAGGTGGTTCATAAATTTCAATTTATGGAATTGTGTACAGTTAAAAGTTTGTATGTCGAAAGTAGTAGCGCAACCATAATTGGTTGTAGGCGAGGCCCAAAAAATTATTTGCATCTAATACCTAATTAATATCTTGATAATATAAAAACTAATTTTTTTAAAACAATATTTTTAAAAATATTCCGGTATTTATTAAAAGAAAAGTTTTTAATTTTATAACAGGGGTTCAACTGAGCTCCCCACCTTCACCCACCAGTTACGCTACTGACCGAAAGAACCATATATTTTATCGTTTTCTGTCACCCTTTTTTCTTTCTTTTCTAAGTACGATCGAATTTGATTACAAATAATAAATATATACGATTTAAAAATTACAATACGTGTCACAAAATAAGCTTATCATACAGTACATATACGACAGCTTTATTTCTGTATTTCTTTAACGTGTATGTTATATATATCCCACTATTAACAAATTGAAAAATTTGTAAATCTTTGGGAAACCTGACTCGAAACGAATGGCTTTATAAAATAACATAAGTTTAACATGATATAAATAGAGAAATAAAATTTTCTGGACGAATGAAATAACGATTTAAAAAACTTTCGGATAACATCGTGTCATGACGTTAAACATTATACCTACGATGTTAACAAATAATAATATCGAAGTAAATAATTACAAACGATAAATAAATATCTTAATATGTACATATCTTCGATTCAGAGAATAACTATGAAAAGAAAATTGAACATTTATTACTTCAAGTTTCTCGCATTCACGGTGCTATTTTTTAGTAAACTTAAATGCTTCATTTGTGTAATTGTTAAATCGTTGAAAAGGAGAAGCAAAATCAGAAACACGATATGTTCACACGTGTTTTATAAGTTATACTAATCTTTTTGTACATTCAACTTCTACAAGAATTAAATAAGCACATGTTTCATTTAATTTTATTCATTTATATAACGTACAAATTGAATAAATAGCAGCAAGATATTTAATTTTACGTGTAATGGTGGATTTCCCAAAGGAAGTCCGTTTCAACAGAAACAATAAACTCTTCTATTACCCACCAGACTATATTCTACAGTGTGTGTATATATTGTAATAGTATTCAATTTTCTTGGCTTATAAGGGTCAATAGAAGTGACAGTAGCACCTTTGATGGAATAGAAGTAATTATTCTTGTGTAAAACTAGGGGGTCAGTCGATGGGTGTGTAATACCCCTTCTTGCCCTTGTGTCGTCCAGCGGGAATTCTTATACAAAATTTCTTCTACAAAGACGTATGTTTTGTAAGGTTAAAAGTCAAATTGCAAAATTGGACTATTTTACGATGCTAGATAATTGTATAAGGAATATTTAGAAAAAAGAATCATGAGAAAATATTGTATCGCTTGAAAATTTGTGAACAAAAAAATCAAATTTGAACCTTTTCATGCCAGCATGGCTAACTACCGCGCCATCTTTGTCTCTCTATGCGAGAAAGACAAGGATCGTCGGTGGTTTCTGAATTTCCCCAAGATTAACAATTAGACCGTCGCTCCTGTTGACCCTTAATTAGTACCTTTCTCTCGATCACTCAGCTTTACTCTTTATATGCCAACAGTGCAAAGCTAAGTTGTATAGAAAGAGTGCAACTGTCAGTCATCAAACCGATTTTAAACCTACATCGATAAGCCAGTTGCCAACACAAATAACCTGTTATTGTCTATGTATTTATCAAATGACCGTACATTTAAGTTAAGAATTCATCGTTTCTCCAAATGCTATTATACTCTTTCTATAACGTTTCCTTTTTATGCATCTGTGTATAGCCGTGCACGCGTGTGTATACGTTTATGTACGTACATATACATATACGTACATATGATATATAGATTAAAAAGTATAAGAATAAATAATATTTGATTGTTTGATTACATATATGTATATATATATGGCAATGCACCAGAAAATATCGGACATAGAGTAACGAATGGGTACTACACGTTCCCTTCATAATGTTCTTTTAAATAACGATAACGAAATATAAAAACTATGTCGATATGATGCGTTTGAAAAATGAAACTCCCGTCATTTTGAATATACAGAAAACTACTGAAACAAGTATTTTACTTTGAAGATGAAAATTTAATGAAAATTTAAATTGAATAATAAGTCAAATAATAATAAACATTTCCAACCATTAATTACAAAAATTACCCTGTAACATGTACAAATGAAATTATTATTAAAATGATAATATCGATATAAAACAAAAAGAAAAATAAAGGAAGAGTATTTATGTAGTTTTAGTAATAACAATGATTAATATTGAATATACGGATAATATTTCATTTTTCAAACAGATCATAATTACTGAACACATTAATGATCTTTACTATGCATAGTAAATGGTAACGAATGTACAAGTGTAAGATTTATGGTACGATAACCGAGTATTTCTTCATTGATAAAGAAGAGATTCTTCTCTCCCTCTGTCTTATAGATAATATATATGTGTATATATTAAATATATACAATATGTATATACATCATTTGTATTACGTGGCTCAATAATTTACATCAATCACACAGTCATTAAAATACTGCATGCATTAAAATCTTGACAGTTGTAAAACAACTAATAAAATTTAAATAGACGTAACAAAGGTATTAAATTATTAAAGAGAATCTCAAAAAAAAAGAAAAGAAAAAAAATGGAATCAGATATAGTCGAAGGATATCGTGATAAACTCTTATATAAAACAAATATAATAAATAATATCATCGCTTATCGTAATGTACTCTGATAAGTTTGCAATTATACTTGTAATCGTTCTTTTCTAAGTCTATTTAATATCATATAATTTCTAGCCACCAAGATTTGACAATATGTAACAGAAATTTTATCAAGAAAAATCCTTTCGTCGCCAAAATAAAATGAAAAAATAGTCAAAAACTATGTATAAAAATAAATACTGTTATCAGTTACAATATTGCAACTGACATCATTTAAGACCTTAAAAAGTTATTGAAATGTTTAGAAATAACGTGTTAATTGAAAAATTAGATTTAATATCTTTCCTGTTTTTGGACAAATTTTTACTACCTGAATAGTAATTCTTCTTTCAGAATCTTATAGTTTTCTCCTAAAATATCTCTGTTAATCGTTACTATCCGTTGTTTAAAAAATGCGGATTATAGTATCATAACATTGGACGTGTATCCATTATTAAATAATTACCAGAATTGATACGACTAGTAAATGACTGATTCAATTCTCATAGTGTCAAACATTCTATACCACAAAATAAAAATAATAATACCATTTACTTAATGCTACTACTTAATGAATCATTGATACCCCCTCCCATCTCCCAATTTCCTACAGATTTTAACAATTTTATATAAATATCGAAATAACTATCAGCTTCCTGTCAATTATTACTATGCCCGTAATGTTGCTAATGGTGATCTAAGTAATGATAATAATGAAAATGATAATGATAGTGAATATACTACCAATACTAGTACTAATGATAATAATATTAATAGTAATACTCACTGGCATAATTAGGTAGGGGCCAGGGTGGGTCTGGACCCCCTAAAAATGTAGACTGGCCCCCTCGCCATTCTAGAATTATAAGATTATAAAATCCTATAATACAAAAATTTTAGTGCTCAAAAATTTGAAAATTCCAGAACTTAAAAATTTCAGATTTCTACAATTCCAGAATTTTTAAATTTTTAAATTTCTAAGGGAGGTATCTTACCCTAAAAATCCTAGTTATGCCAATTGTAATATTATTAATATTGCTAAGTAATAAATGATAACGACAACGATGATAATGATAATTATGATGATAATGATGATGATGATGGTGGTGGTGATGATATTGTAGTACTAGTCATAATTATTGTATAACACTTATGATAATAATAATATCAATAAAAATAATCATAATAATCACTTACAAGTGCGACAATAGCTAATAATATTACTGCTACGGTACACAGTACACACGTAAATAAAAATAAAAAAGTACCTATGTACAAACTTATGTATGCACATGCTCTTTCTGTTTAACGCGCAGAATATTCTTCTCGTTCTTTTTTTAAGTAATAAAAACCTATGCAAGAGAAAAGTATATACCTATTATACAGAGTCACCCATCCAACTTTATTACAATTTCCTCTACTTTTAGAATTTTATCTGTCAAGATGGATTCATAAAGTATTGCTATAAATAAATACAGTTGTTTGCTTATCTGTAAACAATTCCAATAGCAACAGTTACGTTTGAAAATGTTTTCTATTATTCTAGAAATGCAAGAAAATCATATACCAACAATAAGTTACTATATTTCCAAGTATTATTATTTTTTCATGTTAGAGTCTAAAAGCAGCAAGAGTATTTCAAAGGATAAAGTTATATGGAAACACTGTATATGTATGTATATCAGAATTCTAGAAGAACGGACAGAATTTCAACATCTTGTTCAATAACATACCGAGCACATTACAGATTAAACATAAAAGAAGAATATTTTCAAGGAAAGAAAGAAAAATGGAATCCTCTAAAAAGAAATATTCCCTTGAAAATTGAATTTCGTAGAATACGTAAATAATATCGTATATTGCTTTTCGTTCGTTCTTTTGATCTAAATCGTTTTCTTTCTCTCTCGTTTTCTCTTTTTCGCAGATTCTTGTTTCTCTTTGTTGTATTTGCATCGAAACGTACCGAAAAGAGACGAAACGACCCACGACGAGTAAAAGGAATTGCACGATGAACGTAAGAAAATAAAGAAAATGAAAGATATAAAGAACGATCTTGGTAATCAAGATCAGCGAGCAAACAACCCACCAGAATGATCAGCAGTTGTGTATTCCGTGAGAAGAGGCGAGGCTGCCAGGGCTGCGTAGTTGGCGTAATCGGCGTACGGCGTGTAAATAAGCCCATGAGGATCACCGGCAGAAAGAAGGGATCCTGGTGGACCCGATCCGTTCAGTAGAGAGGCGGCGGTGGTTGGAACAGATATCCGTGGTGAGAGTATTAACGGTGCTCCGAGCGGAGCGCTCGGCGTTCTCATCGGCGTGGCCAAGCCAGGAAGAAGCCGTTGCGTCTCCGCCGCAGCTGCAGCTACGCGTCTCCATTCTTCGTCGCAAGCTGAAACATCCAATAAACACTATACTTGCATCGAGTTATTTACACTCAGAATCATAAATTAGAAACGATTCAGGAAAAATGCAAATTCCAGGAACAAGAAAATGAATATTAACCCATTAACGCCCGCCATATTTGTTTAAGTATAATACACACATTCTATTTTATAAGTAGTGCTATTATTCATGGATATTAATTTAAAATAAATTATACGAAATTCTTTAAAAAATAAATAGTAAATCAATGTTTTTAAATACATACCGGAAGCTGCAGCCACTTTCGTGTTAGAATCTCGATAGGTACCATTTATGATAGCAAGCTCCATTAGTTGTCGTTTCTTCAATTCATCCTCTCCATCAGCCTGCCAATGATAAGGTTAATTAATTAAAACAATGTATTTATACGAATTTGATGTTTTATAAAAAATTAAAAAGCAAGTTTGTTCTCTTTTCTTTTTTACAAATTTTGGATACTAATATTTTTGTATTATATGTATATTTTTTATGACATGATTATTATTTCTTTTTTTTCAGAGAATCAACGCAAGAATAAAAGGAATGCTAAGTGCGTTGCAAGAAAATCGGTTTGAAGGATTACTGTAACTGGAACTCTCTCACCACGGGAACAAGAAGTTTCTTCACTTCTTCGACGGCTCTGGCAAGCTTCAAAGTGGCACGATTTTCTGTATCTTCGACTGTTAGTAAAACATGCAGTTCATCCGTCAGATGTTCCCAGTTTGGTTTCCCTCGGTTTAGCTCCTCCTATCGAACCGGTCAGTTTTGATAAGCCTTCTATTATAATCGTAATCTACCACTTCTAATGCAATCTTACTGTACAAACGTATTATACTGCAGTTACGCGAATACCGATACGTATTCTATTTTGGATAACTATACGTAACATTTAAATAATAAACTTTCTGAGCAAACAACTTGATATCGTAATACTTCAGTTATACCTATTTCCACATTTATTTAATACACATGTATACACCTACGCGTTATACATTTGTATTACTTTAAACCCCTAAACGTTGGGGAATACATAAAAGTACATATGTATATAGAGAGATTATTATAGCCATAAATGCGTGGAAGATCGAAAGAAATTTTGAGTACACGTAACAAGTATTTATTTTTATACTCGTACTTACGATAAGATTTTCTCTCATTCATCAAACGCAGCTTGAAAAGAGGAATACATTACTTGTAGATCGAACGAGTAAATCAATATTATCGTTCAATGTTTTATAAACGGTATTTGAAATTTGTTGATACATTTCATTTTTTTAAACATTTATTAATGGTAGTGAAAATAATGATACTAATCATATATTATCTAGACAAGTCAATTAAACATGTACAGTAGGGGGCATGATAGGTTTTCCCAAGGAAAATGGCGAACTGCCAAGCTTCCGGACTCCCGCCCCACCCAGTACGTGGCCGAGGAGAGACTGACAATGTAGGGAGGAAGGCCCCGTATATATAGCTCTGTGGCCTCCAACCACTTACGTTTACGCGGGAGAATTTGAATCGATATTTATTACATTTCTGATATTTCTTAATTTTATACTATATTTTATAACGTTTAATAATTAAAAATTATATTATTTAGCTTCTAAATCATTTTTAACATTAATATTATCAAAATTAAGATTCTGAGATTTCTTATTTCGCTATATCGCCATTTTCGCTAGGGAAGTTTACTTTACTCGATACTGTAGATAAGTATTAATCTAATATTTTTAATGTCATTAAAAATTGTTAACGGAAAATAATTTGTTAGCGAATAAATTTACCTTTTTTTTGTCCCTCATAGAACCTTTCCCCCTAACCATTATTTTGCATCCTGTTTCTTGTTCTAGTTGTTTGGCTGTCATTCCACGCGGCCCAAGAATTCTTCCAACAAAATTAAACTGTAACAAAAACGTTTCAAGAATTTGTATATACCTTTTTTTTATACTTATACCATTGATTTGCAAGCATAAGTCGTAATATAACAACGTATAAATATACTAATAAGAAAGCTAAAGGTAAAACTTACGTCTGGATGTTCTTTAACCGGTACATAAACTTTCTCCGTCAGCGTGATGATTTTACCCTCTGGTTCTGGTAAAATCAGTGGTTCTTTCTTAACACCACTGATTTGGAAAAGACTCGCCCGCACTTTTGCGATTTCTACAACAAAAAATACCATTAAAAAATAGCTGCACCTTTTACTTAAATATGAATATTTTGTAACATACGCGTAAATAAATATAAAAAGGTATATGTGCGATACTACGTGCTACGTTTCCGTTAAAAGCAGCAAAAAGGACCGTAATTAAAATGCGCGTATAATTTCTTCTTTAAGTAATCGCTATTTTTTTTCGTGGGAATTTTATCTCGAATAATGGAACAGATAAACATCGGACTTCTGAACTAAAAACGAAATCCTCTGTTGAATGTTTTCGCGAACGTTTCCGGGGGAAAGAAACTTTCGACGTGTGCAGAAAATGTAGGTTGAGTTAAGCGATTGACAAAATGTAGAAAAGTTGGTCAGTGGCACGAGTTTTGAGACACGTGGCTTCGGATACTCGAATGAAAGATTCGCAAAAATTTGAATTTTCAAGTTAAAAAACATATATTAAATAAAATTTTTCCTAACAAACATTTACAGGTAAATAGGACATTTTTCTCCTAGAACACCATTTCCTCTAGTAAAGCCTACCATACTTAGTTCTGTATATACGTAATGTTGTATCTACCAGCAATGTATCTACATAACATACGTACGGTGTATAATACAATACGGATCTCATATCTGCGAACATGAAAGCATGAATGAAGAGGGAAGGTAGATGAAACGGGTAAGCAATAAGAACGGAGCATCGTATCTACTTTTAGTAACATTGCTCATTACGGATGACATCAGATGCATTATATTCTCAGTTTCATTACCTTCCTCGTTTCCTTTCAAACTTCTTTGCCATAGTTTTGATATTTTATCCGCATTAAATAATCCCCAAACGAACAATGTTCTAACGAATAGAAAGCAACAAAAAATGTAAAATATGAAATTAATGAAACGATTAAGAAAACGATTTTGATACAGTTATTTACACACGGGGTACACCTAAATCGAATAATAGTAAAACAAATTGATCAAGGATAGCGTTTAATCGATACGATAACAAGAATAATCATTTGAACACACTGTTTGATATACAATATCCAGGAATGTCAGCAAAATTTATTCTACTCATCTGACTCACTTTATGAGTCACATTGTGCAACCAATTGCACCTCATCTTCAGAAATCTCATTCCTAACCATACTCCATGTATGAACCGCTCATTTGTAAAATCGAATAACATTAAAAAACAATATAAATAAGAATGTTTGAGCATCAGACATACGTGGTTTAGTATTAAAATTAAAAAAAATTAAAAAATTGGAGTTAATCGTTTCTGCCTACGAATGATTCGTAAAAATGCTTGATATTCTATTTCACAATTAAAAGACGCTAATTTTCTGAAAATTCTAGAAAATTGCAGGAACGAATTAATATTTCTGGGTGCCGGAGCTGTCGAACTTTCAAGGGCCCCCTTGATTCAAGAATTAAAATTTATTCTAAATAAAATTATAAAGGGCAATAGTAAAATTTTGTGCAATATTTGGAAAATTTGTAACGACGCCCCCTGCAAAGTGGGCCCAGAGCTGTAGCCCCCCGCAAACTCCCAACTCCCGGCGCTGTTAAATTAATAATAGCGCTGCTAAATAATATAATATATGCGTTTTGTATCATTTTTCTTCTTCCAAGAGAACGCAGAGTTTCTTATGAAACGAACGAACAATTTATTGGAAAATACATTTCTAAACGACAAGAAAGGAAGAGAAGATGGAATGAAATTCGAAGCTAGCAACCAGATACACGACGTAAAAACGTTCATTACGTGTGAGAATAAAAATCTACCTAAGCGTAGGTTACGATGGTGGATCAATGTTGGTAGTGGTATAGGTGCAGCGTCTATGACATCATCGATGTTGTAATCACCCAGCTACGATCCGTGACACAGATCAAATGCTTCAAGAAGAATAAGAAGATCGCGTTGCGTCGCGATTAACTTACGAAACTTATTTACCCTTTGTTAATTAAATTTGTGGAAAAAAAATGCAAAAATATTGAAATTAATTTTGCAATACTGTTATATTTTATAGGAGAAATATGTGAAACTACTTATATAAGAAAAAGCATAATGCAAAATTTCCGGATGCTTTGCAGATTATATTAAATATTCGAGATAAGTGGATCGAAGGGGATTTTTTTAAACGTTTATCAACACGACTGTTGCAAATACTAAAATAGTAGTTTCAAACAGTATGAAAGAAATCCTGAAGTTATTAAGGGATACGTATTTTATTTGAGAACGTATTAGCGAGGGCGTGACACGAATCTAAAAATAATCATACTTGACTCGCAATACTTGACCGACTATACTTGTTACGGTGTATTAATTATGTTGCTTTGACTTAGTTTTGCCGTTTAGCGATTGGAGAAATGACGATCATGAAGTATCTGTTATAGGTAATGTATACGATATAAAAATAAATAATAATCTGGTTTCAAATTCCAATTTGAAACTTGGTATCGCGTGTATCGGACTTGTGTCTCGGTGGCCAAGTCTCTTAAGCAATTTACAACTTATTTTCACACAGTGAGTCAGAAGGATATATTTATAAATTCGTAGCCAAGAAATTTTCTACCAATAATGTGTAAGGTGTGATTCTTAACGTTTCTTATACAGTTGCGCAAACATAATGCATTAGACACTAAATAAAACCCTAAAATACCACAAACATTTACTATTTTTTCGTTTTGGCATAAGGCTAACGTTACACAGATCATGTAAAAGTGTAAAAATGTGAAACGCATAATATCTATCTACGTAGAAACATAATTACCTGTTAATTGTTTCAGATAAAAAATGAAAAGAAAAAAGTTACAATCATAAACAAATATGATATTTTTCCTGTTTCTCACATTTATGGGTCTGTAGCTCTAAGGTTAGGCGCAGGCGCGTGCGCACGACTAGGCGCATGCGCACGAGTAGGCGCATGCGCACGTGCGAGCGCGCGCCCACACATAAGTGACTAACATTTTCAATGAAAAACAAACTTTTTATGTTACAAGTAACGTATTCATGCAATAAAAGCATGTAGTCTACACAAATATTTATACGCTTCATAGATAGCAGTATCTCTGAAGACGCTCTATCTGTGTATTGTCAGACTTGGCCGAAGATTCGAGATTCGAAAGAAAAATGGATTTTGTTGCAACGCAAAGTAGCAGAATATATTTTGCCTTGAAATTGCAAATGGAGAATTTTCATTGGAACAACTTGAAAATTCATAAACACAATTATTAACGTACGATAAATAAAAGACATAACGAAACTACGATATCCACGCGCCTGTGTTATACATATTAATGTATTATAATTCGTTGACAGAAAATCGTCGAAAAGGCGTAAAGTAAAAATAATGGGTAGGATGCTGATAAAATTCCACTGGTATTCCAAAGTTACAACCATAAATGCTGAACCTGTTTCATCTTAAGGTAAAGCTGACCGACTAAGGCCGGGTACGAGGTATACGAGTACGGTTTGGTATAATGACCTGAAGGTACGTGTGTTAGTGCACGGCCGACTCAAGGCAAGAAGAAAGAGTGACGATGAGAAGAGGGAAGAGTGCAGGTTGGAAACGGAGATGGCAGAGAATTCCTTTCACCCTACCTACTTTTCGAAGCTTAACGTAAGAGAGTCGAATTCAATGGAGGTGGGATGAGATGCCGGAGACGAGGGAGGATGGAGAAGCGTGATAGCGCAGGGAGGGAGTACAAAAAAAGAAAAAAAAAATGCTTGAGAAAGAATATCATGGTGGTAGACGAAGAGAAAAATCAGAGTCTGAGAAAGAGGAAAAATTAAACGAGATCTCCATGTGCGTCGAAAATGACAGCCGAGAAGCGCTTATTTCAAAGCATCCAAGAACACCAAAGTTGTACGCGGAGACAGCAACAGGGTTGAAGAGTAAATTTGCACGAGCGAACAAACCACGAGCAAAGATACGTGCGAGTAAAAGAACGGAGATAGAAAGAGACGGAGAATGACGAGAATGGAACGAAGCAGAAGTGGCACGAGCCCGTTGGTGGATGCCATGCGGCATGAAGTTAACTGCAGGTCAATCCGGTCATCGGCCTCGGTGAATTCTCAAGGGCCATCCTAAGGGTTTCCAATTTTCCTTTTACCTCAACCTTTCATAAATCAATTTAAATTTTTCTTGTAAAAGAGGGAAGCCCCTTTGCTTTAAAAAACGGTACTAGGAACACATATATAACCTCCAATATTCAAGCGTAACTGAATAGGCATTCCTGAACCCTCGGACGGCGGATCATGGAGAGAGTCACTCTTATATAAAACTCTCTTGTTTAGAAAATATACATTTAATTTTTTATAAGTTTGGATCAGGAGTGACCCAGACTCTGCTATGTAAATCACTATCCCCATATAAAGTGTAAAAATTATCAAATAAAATTAATTGATAGATTGTTGTTGATACTAATTAATATCCGTGTGCAAATGTATAGATGCGTATGCCAATCAGCATTCAGGGATAGATGAGGAAGCTATATATGGTGAACTTACAGGATACCTTTTACATAGGTATGCGCGTATACATAGTGGCTTGCAGCTCTATATATACACATATGTACGCACGAAAATTACGATAACGACCACGACCACGACCACGACCACGACCACGACGAACACCGCAAAAGCGGGAGCGCGTAGGCATTTCCTTATTTAGCAAGAGAGAGAAACGTCTTTGCTAGCGTGACCACTCTTCCAAAGAATTCGGATAAATTAAGAGTAACACCGTTGCGTGCATAAAAGCAGATAGCTGTATCAGGAAATAGCAACTTAAAGAAAGGATATAATCTGTTTCTAATTAATTAAAAATACAGTACGTTACGCGTGATTTGTACTTGGTAAGAATATAAAACAGCATTGTGTTTGCATCCTCTTCGTCTCTTGTTTAACAAAATATTTAAAAAATCTTCACGTTACTCGGTTCGAACGCATGTATCCCATCGTAAACCGTGATTTCATGCTCGACTCAAGACAATGTTCCTTATCGTA